AAAGTCTTTGACAGATATTTGGTGTATAGGGAACATAAGCGGAACTGCAATATATTTGGCAGCTAAAGCATTTGAAATATCTGGGTCCAACATATAGACTGCAAGTCTGCTTTCTATTCTCTTGCATTCAAATTTTTCGCATGTGAACTTAACTGGGTCCAAGCATCTCCAGCAGCATTGAAATAATAGTTTACTTCAGTGTTGAGGTTTGAGAAACCAAAGTCTAAGTCAACTTTGTTTTGCAAAAGTCGGCGAATGACATTTTATTTGTTCCCACTTTACTTCTGTAAGAGTGAATGGGTCTTGTGTTGGTGCAATGACTAAGTTATTTTTGCTTGGAGTAAGTTCGATAGAAATTTTTCCTGCCCAGTTTGGCAAGTATCTTAAAAACCTGAAGATGAGGAAAGATGACAAAGGAACTCTAAGTTTCAGTTTTACTTTGGTTACGCTGCTGCAGTTTGTCCAGAAAGGTTAACATAAACTCCTGGAACGTTAGGGTCAAGTCTTTTATTTTCTCAATAGTTGCATACTGGTCTGTTGTTCTCTAGCTTGTGGTTGTACTGAGTTTCTCAAAGCGAACCATTCATAGTTTGCCCATGTTACTGTTTGAACTAAGTCAGAGTTAGAATATATCTTATATCCCATGAAAACTTCTGGAGCATATTGGTATCCGACATAGAAAATTCCATTGCAACCTTTCTTGTCAGACAACTTGGCAGAAGGTTTTATTTCAATGTCTTGTTCCACGTATAAGAATGAGTTGTCAATAGAAATAATATGAAACCTGTCGCAAGCAATATCTACTGTTGTTGAAGAACCTTCTCCAAACTCACCTACGTTTCCATAAGAAACAGCAGTTGTATATTCGTAAGTTCCAGGAACTATTTCTGACCTTCTAATGGCATTGTCGCATTCGTTATACCATTCGGAAACATTTCCATTCATGGCATCCAAAACTGTTGGCGTTATATTCTGAGCGGCGTACATTTCATATGAGTAAAAATATAGAATAGTTGGATTTATATGTCATAATAGAACCCACGTGGACCAAGCTTTACTTTCTTCCTGACTGAGTTTTTAACTCTTCTTTTTCCTTCATTGCCCTCTGCTTGAAGTTGTTGCATCTTTGCATTATGTTCATCTAGTATGTTGCAAATTTCCCATGTCCTTTTTGCCTTTTGGCTCTGGTCGCCCATCTCAGGTAACCTATATCCTAGAAAGAGTTTGTCATAGTTTGTATTTGAGTCTTTGCGTATTGTTTGCATGACTCTGTCCTGAGTTTCCGGTTCAAGCTCTTCAAACAGAGCCTGTCCATATGGAATATGCTCGTTTCCAAATATATGTTTTTGTAGCCATTCTGGTTTTCTTTCCATGTTACCAACTATATCTTTTGTGAATGGGAAAGCTTTTACCCAATCTTTCAGTCTTGCGTCGTTTATTTCTGTAGTTGGTTTTATTTTGTCAAGGAACATGTTTTTCAATACTAACATTTCATTTGGTACTGTCAATTTGAGTTTTCTTAAATATTCATCCCTTCTCAGTTCATCGTCTGCAAAGTAAGTTTTTATGACATTTTGTAAACTTTCGTTTGCAAGGTCATGTACAATAGGTTCTCTTCCTTCGCCCTCCCTAACTTTCTTTCTAAACTCTTCACCAAATATACCATCTCTATGGTTCTGTGTAGTTCTTTGAGATAAATGTTTTAGAACGTCAGGTGTTATATTTCCATCAGCCATGTTCATTTCATACTGGTCCAAAATATCTGCATGTTTCATATCTTTCAATGGCATTAAAGCCGCGCTGAAAATACCAGCTACATCTGGTTCACCATTCACTTCCATTGCGTCTACAACTTCTTGGAATTGTGGTTGTAAGTTTATGAACCACCTATCCGGATTAGCTTTATGACCCCATCTCATTGTAGTTCCATCGTCTGCAGAAACAAAAGTAGGTTTGTTTCCATCTTGGTTAGGTTCTGAATGAACTTTAAACAATGTTTCATTTCTATATGTTTTCTTGAAATTTAACCTTTTATTTTCACCGAGTTCATCCGAAGATTGAACGTTAAATGCTCGTAAGTAAAAAGGGTTGTTGTATTTGTGTACATTTTCTTTCAGTACTTCCATTCTATGCTGAATATTTTCATCTGGTGTTGGAGTCTTTTGTATGTCGGCAAACATTTTTCGATATTCTTCTACTATGTCAGCCGAATTTTTTTTAGACTCTTGGAAATATTCCATATTCTCCGCATACTCTTGTTGAGGGTCAAGATTTTTCGGCTGTTCCAAATCTTCATCTAGTTCTGTGAAGTTAGTTTCCAAAGGAGTGACTTGTTCGTTTCCTTCAGGCTCTTCTAGCTGTTGTTGCTGAACTATTTCTTCCATGTCTGGTTGTATCTGAACTAGTTCTTCCTGTGGAGTTTCTTGTACCTCATCTGCTGGCATTTCATATATTCCGAGACCGTTTTCAACAATTTCCCTATCTACGTCATCCGCATTCATAAGCTTTTGTTCTTTCGTTCCGTCTCTATTTTTTACGCGTTTCATGACGAAAGTTGAATTGTCATTTAGCTCTGACATCAAATATCTCGGAGTAAATTCATCCATGTCATTTGGATGATATGCTATTAAATCATATCCCTTAGCGAGCTTGTATTTTCCAGGTTTGAGATTATATCCGTTTTGGTGCTGAGCCATAAAGCTAAATAGGTTCGGGTCAGTATTTCCATCCTTGAACTTTCTAATAGCTTCTTTATATCTGTCACTAAAGTCAACAGTATCTGGGAAACCACACTCTTCTTTAAGCATTTTTAAGAATTCTTGGTTTCCTTGTTCTCTACTTCTTTTATGTCCTTGCTCTGTTTCTGGTTGTTGTTGTGCTGGATTTTGAACTGTTGGTTGTGGAGGTGGCTGTTGTGCTGGATTTTGAACTGTTGGTTGTTGTGTTGGTTGTTGTGCTGGTTGTGGAGGTGGTTGTTGTGCTGGTTGTGGAGGTGGTTGTTGTGCTGGTTGTTGTGCATGCCTGTGTCTGTGTCCATGTGACGATGTAAATGTTCTAGGTAGTCCTGGTGCAGGTGCTTCTCTTGGAGGGTTTGGTGGTATATAAATTCCACCAGCTGGCACATATGTTCCATCTGCAGCGTAATGTCCTACCTGACTTTTCGTTCTTAAGAAAGCATTTACTAGGTCTGTTTTGGTCTGTTGTAACTCTTTTTCTTGACTTTCCACAACAGTTGCTCTAACGGCGTCATAGGCACTTTGAACTGCCTGTCTCGTTGCTGCATCTGTTATTTTCGTCATATTTTGTGCTACTTCTCTTAACTCTTTGTCGAAACCTTCAGACTTCAGTTTGTTTCCAGATGAGAAGTCGTTCACTAGTTTCACCTTACTATGAAGAGCTTCGAAGGCGTTCTTAAAGTCAGCATTCGTTAAAGCTTCATTTGAACTGTCTTCATCCGCTTGTATTTTTGTCCTTATTGACCCTATAAGCTGGGCTGCTTTAGCGTTGGCTTGGGCATCTAACCAGTCATTGTTAGCTTTTATATATTCTGCGCTTTTCATTGCCTTTTGCATAGCCGCGTCGTTATTTTTACTTTCTTGTGCTAAGTTTTCATACTGTACGGTTTGGTTTTGCAACTGTAAAAGTTTTTCTGCCTTTACATTTGCTTCAACTTCTTTTTTATACTCATCGCTATCCATATATGTCTTCAGGGCTTTTTGTTTTATCTCTTCATCTTTCAGTACTTTATATTGAGTAGTATGGTTTTTCAAATTTATGACATCTTGTTCCATTTTTGCTACTTCTGCTGCTTTTTCTGACACTTTTTTCGCATATTCCTCTGTACTTAGTTCTTTCAGTTGTTCTTCTTTCTTCTTTTTCTCTACGTTTAACTCATTGAGTTTCTTTGTGTGTCTGTCATATTCTAGTTTCTTTTCGTTTTCACTTATTTGTTTCTGTATGTCTATGTTTGACTTTTTGACATCTGATATTTGATTTTTGAGTGAACTCAAATTCATTTGACTTTGAGGGTTATATGCTGTTCCGTCTGCAGCTCCACCATAGCCTGCCATTTTCGCTAAAAGTGCCGCTCTTAAACCTCCACTCTGTGCACCAAAAACTCGGTTTAAAAGCATAGGATTGCTTGACATTTGTTGCAACATAGTGGGGTCATTCAGCATTTGTTGTTGCAACTGTTGTTGTGGTGTTAGTTTTACTATTGGATGTTTCAATGCTCTCTTCCTCTTACGTATATTCTTACGTAGCTTACGTGGCATTTTAAGTGAAGTTAAAAACATTTACGATGAAGAAGTCTTGACAAAACATTTACGATGAAATCATGAGTTTTCTACGATGTTAGAAAACATGTTAGAAAACGTGTTAGATCTAACATTCTAACATAAACATTATTTTTGGGTCATTTACGCTCATTACGAAGAAGTCTTGACAAAACATTTACGAAGAAATCTTGACAAAACATTTACGAAGAAATCTTGACAAAACATTTACGAAGAAGTCTTGACAAAACATTTACGATGAAATCTTGACAAAACATTTACGAAGAAGTCTTGACAAAACATGAAAACATATATAATTTGTGAAAAGCTCCTGGAAGACCTCCGAATAAAAACTTCATTTATGTGGGCTAGAAGGCACGAAGTGCCTGGAAGCCCCACTACCTTTTTTTTTTTTTTTTTTTTTTTTTTTTTTTGGTTTTAAGGGTCATAATGGAGTCAAGTTTTATAACAACCTAAATAGGTAGCCAAGATAATGCCTAAAAATAAGGTTCTAAATTCTGAAGTTTACATGATCCTCTCGTGTGCACCCTTAATATATACCGTCTTAATTCTATCAGCGCTTCGCGCCGATAGAATTAATTGAAAAGCCGCAATAGAGCCTTTGAAACGACTTTAATTTTAGTCGCTAATAAATAATAAAAAATGAGTTAGGCTACTTCTTTTTAAAGCTAAAAGATGTCATAATATTTTATTTAAATGTATTCATCAATTTTTTTTGAAAATAGCCTCTTCTGTTACTGGCAAAGGAGTCCTAATAACATAAATTCCTTTTGCTTTAGCCTTTTTCTCCCACTCTTCTCTAGACGGGAAGTTAGATGTACACATTGTATCCAAATCTTCATATTCCCAAATCGTCTTTGTAATATCTAACATGTAATATGGGGATGTGAGATACTTAAGATGGGGATGATCTGGTAATAAATTCTTTAATGTTGTTCCTGTATGAGCAAGGCCAGGTTTAATAAAATTCATTTTCCAATCATCCCAGAATCGACACCAATGGTATCTAAATGTATAAGAATCATCATTCTTAGGCCAAAAGTTTTTCTCTTGGTGCGAGTAAGCATTCTTCTTACGAGTATAATTCTCCAAATGGGTAAAACACCAACTACAATGTGTTGCAACGACTTCACGTGTAATAGGAGTTATGTGCACACGCTTCCTAAGAGTAAGTAAGTCAGGCATATTATCGGAATATGGAAATATTACTGGACAACACCAATCTCCTTGATCGTACAAGAAGTTAGGCTGGGAATGACGCGTTAAAGGGTGTATCTGTTGTGTAGGCCAGTGATTTATCAAATACTCTATACCTTCACGAGTAATAATTTCATCTAAATCAGAAGCAAATATTAAATCTCCGTTTTTTGGATGAAATTTTTGACGGATAACCTCAAGAAAGTATACACGCCATGAATGCTCGTATGAAAATGATTTATGTGAATCTAAATTTTTGTAAATTCGGTCTTCTGGGATTTCTCTTATGATTAGGACTTTATCCATAAACTGCTTTAGTTCTTCTTCAAATGGCCAAAATGAATAATTGGTGGGTATGTTGGTAAATGTTCTGGGCAAAATTCCAATAACAAATTGATCAACGTAATCATAGTATCTCCAAAGCCGAGTATATAGCATAGCAGCCTCACCACTGAACATTGTTACATCAAATATTCTGCGACCTTTCTTGTCAGGAATTGGATGATCGACAAATTTTGGATCACCTGGCTTCCTGTTTGGTAGTAGATCGCTATGACCTGTAATTTTTCTGTTCATTCCAAGAGATTCGAATGTTGAATATATTGCTTTTGAATGAATGGTTTTGACGTTAATATATGTTCTTATATCAATTCTTTTCCATAAAATTAGCTCGATTGAGATCCCAATTATTACAACTAATATTGTGAGAATACAAATTCCATCAGATCTAGATGATCGATATTTCATATTTAGGAAATGCACTTTTTGCGAAAATGTGACAGAAGTGCTACCACTCAATTTTGAGTTTTTTGCTCAAAAGATATGGGAAAATAGTTTTGTTATATATCATAGATGCCAAATGTGTCGTTTATTTGGATTTTTTATTTAGTGGTTGTTCTCAAAAAGAACCTTAAATATTTGACACCCGCACTTTTTCAGCATCCTGATAATATGTTATAAACAAATTTCATAAAGAGAAGCCGAAATAATTCAATATGGACACGTTAGATTTCATTGAATTTCTTTGAAGCACCACTATCAATATTTTGTTTGATTACTAACAAATTTTTATTTTTCTATATAATCATCCTTTATTTGAGTTTGTAAGTAAGAATCCATGAATGTTATTTTGTAAAAGCAATATACCTTACTACAACAATGCTCAATGCAAAAGATTTCCTATATTTTTATCTAATCAATATGACTATAGTATTGTCAATTAGACATCAACTTCATACATTCAATAAATACTATAATACGAGAGTTTTACGTAGTTTTCAAAGATAATTTAAAAAATGATACTGTTATCTTTCACATTAGCCATCGTAATATAGATACTAATATCGTAATTCACATTATGTGATCTTTACTAAGCTTAATTCATGCTATATTCATTAATTGATCAAAAAATATTTGTTATTCATTAACAATTGCATAATATGAAAAGCTTAATAGCTGTATCAATAGTGCTCATTACTGAGCTATATTGAAGCAGTAAATTATAGAAACTTAAAATTTCAAAAATTATTTTTATTAAATGAGTAGGCTATAATAGATATGAATCTTCCGATGGCATAAAAAGCAAATCAGCATGCTATATAAGTTAGAATATAAATATTCATTTTTCATTATTTGAAAATTTTGATCCTATCAAAAAAATAGTCAGTGATGGTAATCTACTATGGATATGAAACATAGTTATCATAATTCAATTATACTATATCGCTTAATCGATCTTAATTGATATCGTAATTTTACCAATTTTGAATAAATAGGAAATTCAAACTGTTACCAATAATTAGGTTATGCTAGTAGTACTTCTTCATTTGTCATATTTGGTATTTTATCTTTTGTCGTTGAAATCGCAAATATTATTTTGGGGTGAAGCAAACAAGGCGATCATTGGGTAGACTTTTACTGTCACCTATAGGACTAGATTTTCATAGTAAAGTCTGAGACAATGATATCAAAGTTTGGGTGTGGCGGCACTTCTAATGTGACATTGTAAACACATTTTTAAATATGAAATTTGGTGTGAGAATATATTACAAATATATATGTGCATTCCATTTAAGGGAAAATTGACAGTGGTGGCACTTCATTATTTTTTTTTCAATATACGATTGCAATTTATTTTCAAATAAGCCTATTTTCCTATGTGAAGTCACCCTATCGTTGTTCTGCCTCAATATTGAGTGAACATATATCAAAATTTTGAATTAGAGACTTTACAAAGGATAAGGAGTTAATATATATTTACAAAAATTGTTAAAATATTTTCACTTGGAAAAATCAATATTTTGACATCATTAATTCACTCAATAAGTAACTGACAAAAGTTTAGTTTCTCTAAAAAATCGATTTTGGCGCTGTTTTGATATTCTTCCCTATTCTATTTGACAAATTTGTTAAACCAATCCATAAAATCAGTCACATTAATATTATAATTGATATCGTTTGAAAAAGTATAATATCTATAAAACTTCTGCGAGAGACCGTTCGCGAAATTCAATACAGAGTGTGGTGTCCAATATTTGTTGTGTGGTGTTGGAAATTCTCCATTCTTCTTGATAGGCAGTAATTCAATAATGCTCACATCTTTCCCAGCAAAGTATGCATTATATAGTGCTCCACCATGCGGTCCTATTATATATTTTGCTCTTGGAAGCAAATCAAAGCAAAAGCTTGTATTTTTACATCCATCCTCGATAACAACTACATTACCTAAGCCATATTTATCTTCTAACGGTTTCTTAATGTCAAGAAGATTATACACAATTCTATCTGGCTTTCCTTGCTTCGCATCATTCTTCCTCCGAGGGAAAATAAAAATTTTGTCACGCTTCACATTTGGAAATTTCATTTTCTCATAATACATTTTATAAAAGAAAGGATGTGTACTCTTCATAACTGCGACAACAATTATCCTCTTTGCACTCACAGTTACATACGAACTTTTGCATTTCTCGACATCATGATTGAAGCCGAATCTGGATATATAAGCGTCTGAATATGGATTACAAGCAGTGGATATCAATTTTACTGAATTTGGATCGATTTTGTTTGCAGTTAGTGCAGTGACCATAGAAGGGATTCCATAGTCGAGTGCATGTTGGTGCATATAGAGCCAATATCCATTATGAATATAAACTGTTCCATTTATATCAGGTTTCTTGTTTTCACTTGGCCAACTGCAATAGTAAGTGAAATGCGTGTTATTTTTTACTCTGCATGCATGCTCATCATTAACATGTATTTGCCCGTAGGAAATGTCCCATATAACACTGATATGCCATTTATTTGTCTCAAAAAACGATGATCTAATATCTCGATCTTTATAAAATAGAGTATTTAATTCCTCATTGAGCCCTAATGGCTCGTGTAAGGCAAATGGCGGTAAAAACAAGAATTCCTCAATTATATGTCCAGAATTAAATTTGATCATGTATAATTTTTCGCCTGAAATTTCTGTATGCGTGTATTCTGGTATTCCTGAGAAATTATGTGGAACAGGAACTGAATAGTAAATGAATAAATCATGAACACCTGAATTAAAAGCCGAAAAATTGACTTTGTAATATAATTGCTTTAGAATTGACTCGATCTCATCCTTATCGCTTGTGTTGGTTTGATTCTTGTTAATAAATCTTTGTGTGGTTGGCTTGGAATTGAATGCAAATAAAGAGATAATGCAAACCAATATGATGAATGAATTAATAAATGAAAAAATAAGTACTCTTTGCGAAAAATATGGCTGTTTATATTTATAATCAGGGATTGTTTCAAACGCATTATCCATTAACAAAGCAATTAGTTGGTTAAGGGATAACTGCCATAGTTTACAACTATTCAATTTTTTTTAAAAAAATGCTCTAGAATGTGAATAAAAAAAGATTTGGCGACCTATGTTGTGAAATATATAATCAATAAATTTGGGCAAATTTTCATAGAGGATAAATAACTTCTTGATCAAATATATTTTGAAACGGTAAAATTATAGAGTCCGACTGCTACGATTATGTTTATTCATTTAAATGTACAATCTATCATTGAGAAAAAGTACATTAATTTTAAAAATCGGACATTGAAAATTGTGTTGAGACCTATGAATTCAATTATTTGTAAAGTATTGAATTCACCGGAAAGTCTGCAGAAATTAATTTTACTATTTTTTCCTATAGAGTTAAGGTATTTTTTTTCAGATGTTTCAGAAGAGTGAGAGAATTTCAATCCTCTAAAATTGACAATTCAAATTGTCATTTTTTTTCCCTATTCAAAATAGTTCACGATTTTAAAAGAATTTTCAAAATCGTGAATTGAATATAGTAAAGACTATAATTTTACATTTGCCAAATTACCATTGTTTAAATTGATCACACATAATCATGCTATTAATTATCGATAAATATATAAAAATTGAGATGATTTACAAAAAAAAAAAATAAAAAAAAAATAAAAAATAAAAAAATAAAAAAAACATTTTCCGATTTTTTTTGAATGAAATATCGATATTTTGTAATCGATTTTTATTCACAATGCTCAGCTTTTCCTAGAATGCTGATTTTACTAAAAATTAACGCATTTGAATTTCATTCAATTGTGTCACTTTTTCTTATAATCCCAAATCTTTTACATATTCAAATTTTCAGAATTTCTTTTTTGAATTGAATATCAAATGATTCAAGGATTTCTTTACAATTTGGCTGGAGTTCTAGTTCTGCCAAATTGCAAAAAAAATTCTGAATTCCTTTTGCTTTTAGATTTTGAAAATATAACTCATTTTTGAAAATGCATAGTAAAGCTTATTCTGCTCATTCCAACATGCTTATTCTGCTTCCTTCATTTATTACGATAATGCTTATTAATAAAGGCGAGCTTTCGTACTTCAAAATATCCGGCACAATTAAAATTCAATCACTTGGCAAATTCAATTTTGTTTTTCCAGACATTCAAGATCATTCCACTTTTGAAATAAACCATATTTCCGGAAATGCTACTGGCTATTTAAAGAACTTTTGTCAATTTTCTATTTGCAACTTACCTCTCTTTTTCCAAGGCGAACAAAACATTTCAATTAAAAACAAAGGCATTACGGTCCATTATTTTCCTTTAACAAACAAAATTTGCGAAATTGATTGTACTCCTCAAAATACGTTATTACATTGTGCTATCAAGAATCTGAAGTTTATAAATAAAAACAACGGTGTTGTTAGAACTCCATATAGAATTGATTTCAACGACCCGTTGGTTCATCACGAAACAAGATATCATGATGTTTCATTATTTCATCTCCAAGCAGAAGTTGGAGAACCATTTACAAATATTAAGCCTGGCTTGTTTTACGCATCTCATTCGTATTGTTGCAATAATATACCTTGGCACTATTTAATTGAAGGGTTTCTTACTAATTTTAGAACATGGAAAGATTTTATCAATGATCGCAAAGTAAAATTGCTTGATTTAGATCCAAGCAACATGCAGTATCACATAATTCATCGAACAATTTCAGATAATGATAAAATCCGCACTGAATGGGGAGGAGTTTACGAAAAAGTACATATTGGAACACATGAATATCATTATCATAACATGACTTGCCATAATGAATATTTTGACTTTAGACCTTTTAATCACTCAGATGCAATGAAGAAAGCTATATGGAGTTATTATAATATTACACCTATTAAAAGCAAAAATCCTAATATTTTCATAATTCAACGCAAAAGAGATCGTCATATAAGTAATTTTGATGCCATAGTTGCAGCAATTAAAGAAAACTTTCCAGATGCAAATATAATTTTCCCTTCGTTTGAAAATTTACCATTTGAAAAACAAGTTAGCATGATGACAATAGCTGATGTTGTTATTGGACCTCATGGTAGTTTCTTCTCAAATATGATATTCCAACGAGACAATACAAGTATTATTGAGATTATGCCATATATGCTTGAAAGAAGGCGATGGTATGCATCATTGGCTGGTGCAACAAAAATTAACTATTACATGTATTGGCCTAAAAAGGATCCATTTAATGGCAGGTTTAATATTCCTTCAGAATGCCTACATTATTGTGTTACCGCAAATAGAGAAAATTGCCAAGAATTTTCTAATAAAATGGAAGTAATGGCTGATGTTGGATCAATAGTAAGACTCACTGCAAAAGCCATTAAAGCTGCAGGTTTCTCTCTTCCAAAGTCTATTAAAGATTATCCTGGACCAGGCAGCATAAAAGGGCCAGGAGATGACTTAACTCCAGAAAATAACTATTATTTAGATCTATAGAATACTGTTAAAGATGAATTATTTATTTCTTCATTATTTCTTCTTATAATACTTCGAAAAGATTCAGAAATCTTATAGATCGAACAAATATTCATGATTCTAAGAAAATAAACATTTATATGAATGATTTTGATATAAAATGACACTCAAAATCTAAAAGTGGAAAATATGAATTTTATTTAAGGGTTTCGTTTTGCTAAAATTGTCACTTTTATAGCATATTTGTTTTTGGATGTTTTGCGAAACCAAAAAAAAAACTATGATATACAATGTGTGTGTAAAGAAAATACTTTATTTACTAGTTAAAAAATCATTTGGTATTGATCAAGTTATTTTTTCTGGATAAGATATTATATGGATAATTGGATAGAAAATACAATTATATAATCTTGTACCTGGTTTAATTAAGCTAATTGTCATCAGAAACTTGTAATTTTTATGAATTTCAGATTTTCTTTTCATTACTGCTTTTCTTAATAGGTCAAGTTCTTATTTACGTTATAAAGTATGATATTTACAAATATCAAGTTATCATGTTTTTTGAGAAATTATGAGAAACAAACAAAAATGAAAAAGATAGGAATAGCAATGAATAGTGATGTGGGTATAGAAAATGTAAGAGATATGAATGCAAAGCAATCAGTATTTAGGATATTGACCATAGATTTCGAAAAAAAAATGCTGCATATTGAGCGAAAACTATGATTATATTATAAGGCTGTCATTTAAAGCATAATGAAACTATTCCCTTTTCATTTTAATCGAATAAGATAGTAAAGATTTTTGAATTAGCTAGAAACTGATGAGATGTTTTCACAAATCAGATTTTTAATCTCTATAATGCATAATTCACTCAATATCTCAATTTTGATATTGCGAGATATTTTTGCTATCGGTTTCGCAATTTTGACACAATAGCAAGAGGGTTCTATATGCATTATTATCAACGTAGAATCTGAATATCATATCAGAAAATGTCGCAAATCTGACATTTACCCGACCAAATAGCAAAAATAATTGAATACTTTTCGCAAAAACTTTAAAAATCGATAAAAATATGAAATATAGATATTAAAGAGACTTTTTATATAATATTCATAAAGATTTTCCAAAAATATGATACCGCAAAATTAAAAAAGTGACGTCTTGAGTGGAGTCAAAGGTCGAAATTGCTAGCTAAATGTTTTTTTAGCGAAATTGCGTATTGTACGTTTTTTTCGCAAAACGAAACCCTTATTTTATTATTATATTTCACTCCCATCTGCAATAGCTTTATTCTAAACCAATCATTGGACACTATATATTGTTCAAATTGAGTTTTGGCCAAATAAACCGCATTTGCACATGTATATAAACAAGCAAATATAATAAATTATACACATAACTTCGTCATTTAGATTTGTAAAGCTATCAAATGGGAACAAGATATTATCAATTCCCAATAGAATAGCTAAGCAAAAGTCAGAAAGATGGAAAATATATGTGTCAGAATTGTGAGCTTTTATTGAATGAGGTCTATCCATGTCTACTACACATGCCAATTTTTGAACGGAAAAAGATAAATGTGAAGAAACATATTTTTTTCTCCCTATGAATAAACGATATATTACCTTAAAGGATAGTATAAATGAGATAATCACCAGTCATTTACTGATTAAATTAAATGTAATTTCTGCTAATGACTATCATTCTAGGCGAGATACTGAACTTAAAATTTTAAAACATAGAAAAGTGACAGAATGAAGGTAGAAATAGGTGCGCTGATTAACTCCGTGATAGAACTCAGCGTTAATCGGTGGACCACAGCTTTTTCAGTGAAGAAGCTGATTTCGGATTCCTATCATTTGCCGTTCTTAAGTCTACAATTATTTAGTTTTGAAAACGAAGTTAGTGATAACGAAATCATTAGGCCAAGCAAAATTACAGCACAAAATCAATTTACTTGTAAGATTAATACCACTGTATACGAAGATAGCGACGAAATCGACTGCGGAAAAGAAACACTCGAGTTCAAAGAAAAAGTAGAAAAACTTATTGGACTTGGATTCACATCATTTATTGCAAAAAAAGCATTAAATGCAGCAAATGGTGATTATGAAAATGCAATCACTCTACTTGACGTTAAACTCTTAAAACCAAAATTTCAACAAGTAATTCTCAGAGATGATTTCAATAATAACTGTGAAAATACACAAAATATCGCATCAACTGGCTCCAGTTACCATACAACAGAAAATTCTATGTCTCAGAATTCAGAATCAGAAAAAAGTAAAATAATTTACGTTGCTGGTCAACAAGTTGATACAGGCATCTCAAAGATCGTTTACATTGATGTTACAAAGCACCCTAAACCAACCATTCCCAAAGTCACAGACACAACACCATGGACAGAGGAAGAAGACCAGAAATTGATAGATTTATATTCAAACCTGATACAAAATAAAGATAAATTCGTATTCATTTGCAAACACCTTGAACCTCATTCCAAAGAAGGTTGCATTTCAAGATACGAGGAACTGAAGAAACAGTACAAAAATAAAGAAATTAATTACTTGAATGTTCCTACCAGAATGATCCAGCTGTGGAATCACGATCCTCCAGGTTCTAAGAAGAAAAAGAAGACTCAAAAAAAGCAAACTACAATTGCAGAAATAAATAAAAAAGAAAATATAAAAGAATCAGATCAACAAGAAACAAAAACAGAAGAAACTGTTGTTATTAATGGAGAAGAACAAATATTAAATCAGCAAAAGGAACAATCAAAAGAAGTTCATGAACCAGAAAATTTACAAATTCAGCTAAATAATGATGAACAAACAGATAAAGATAATCTTAAACCAAATGAAGAAGAAAATCTTAATAATGAGCAAAATCAAAAAGAAACAGAAATTGCAAAGAAAATGGAAAATACATCAATAAAAGTGATCGAAAATTTGAAAACAGAAACTCCAATTGAAACAAAGCCAAAACCAACAGGAGTAAGACCACTACCTGACTACGTAATTGATATTTTCCCTGTAATACGAAAGTTTTACGAACTTAACTACGATTGCCAGTTTTTGGAGCATTTTTTCCCAGATTTCGCTGCCGGTTACTTAGTTTTTTTAATGTCACATATCAAGATGAACATCAACATCAACAGGGGAACAAACACATGGTCACTCAGAGACATGAGAAAACTGCTTGAGCTTTCTTTTGGAGGTTTAACAGATCCAGAAGTTCAGAAACTGATGCTAAATCACACAACAAGGCAGATACATGACAAAAAAATGCGTTTGTTAAAAGACATCAAAGGAACACGTCATTTGATGGTATTCGCACAAGTTCACGAAGGATTCAAAGTACCAGAAGATGCCACATACGATCAAAACGGAATTCCAAGCTACCTTGATGGATTGATCACTTCCTTTAATTCGAACAAGAAGAACAGAGATCTCCTCCAATCATCCATTTCTCTTCCCGACTTAGATATACTGAAAACAACAGAAATGGTTCTGAGAGAAAGAAAGCCACCAAAACAGGCAAAAGATGATGAAAGCGATAGTTCGAAATCGAAAACTCCTGTTCCTTGGACGGAGAAAGAAGACCAAGCAATAATTGATGGATATGCTGAGTTCAAAGACTACAGAGATAAATGGGTCAGAATGGTCAACAAACTTCCTGGTCGTACTACAAACCAAATATCATCACGATTCAGAACTATCAGTGACGAAATAAAGAAAGGCCTTAAAACAAACATCAACATCCCTAAAGAGATTGAGGAAATCTTCATTCGCTCTTCTTTTAATTCCCTCCCACTTCCATCAATCTCAGTCAATTTCCCTCAACTCGTCTACTGCTATTTCGGCAACAACTGTGACATCAACAAGACGTGGAAAGACTTCAGTCAGTTTATGAAGGGATACCTCTTCTTCGTCCTCCTCACTGCGAGTCAATCAATAAGAAGAATCAACAACAACTGGGAGAAAAAGGAAGAAAGAGTTCTATTCGAAATGTATTACGATGGATTTAGTATATTAGAAATATCAAAGCAGCTGAACAAATCAATCGAACAAATACAAGAAAAGATTGCTCAATCAGAAGAAAGAGTAAAAATGTCACAGGAATTACTAAAAAAGGTATCAGACGACCTTGTAAAGAGTGGCATAAACATTGCTACAGCTGTTGATGCTGATGGTCTTCCTGTTTATTTCAAAGAGACATTTAGGTATTACATTGCTCCAATTTATGGTCACACAGACACTACAAATGAAACAGATCCAGAATGGACAAAAGAAGAAGAGCAAATCTTGATTAACAAGTACTCTGAGTTCTTGGGAAACAAAAATGTTTGGAAATTGATTGCCGAAGTAATCCCAAGGCATCAGCCTAACCAAATAATGAGGTACTTTAAATCTCTTTTAGACAGGATCAAGCAAGATAAATGCCCAGATTTGACAGTTACACAGCAGGTAAGAGATTTAGTTGAAGCTGAAAAGAAGTTACAAAAGAATATTTCTGAAGAGGACAAGAAGAAAAAGATTGTTGTTGCTGTAAAAAGTTCTCAACCAACACAGAAAATTCCAATATGGAAACGAAAAAGAGATGAAGAAGGTTTCAACCAAGAAATGATTGACAACAAAGAATTGCAAAAACTGAAACCTCTACCAGATAAACAAGTCGATATTTTGCATCTGATTAAAGATTTTTACGAGAAAGAAGGCGACGATATTGAACTTCAGAAACTGTATCCGGATTTTTCTGTTGGCTATTTAGTCTATTTGCTTGATTGGACACTCAGGCAATTGTCGAAACGCTTCAAGAGCCAGAGCTGGAATGATAAAGAAACGAGGTTTGTACTGGAGAAACACTTCGACGGAATAACTCGATCTCGAATTGGGGAAGTAATGACATCAAAAAACAAATTCCAAATTGGTTCTAAAAGTTACAATGTAATGGAAAATTTAAACAATACAAACTTCCTCAAAGAGTTTGCAGCGGAATTCCAGAAATGTCCGGGGATAGAGTCATCAAAATACAATGATGATGGCATTCCTTCCTATCTTCCACCAATGATACAAAACTACTTAAACAAAACAGTGCAAAAACCCAAATTATCTCTTCAGATGGAAAAACCAATAGTACTTCCTCCAGTCGCTTTGCCGCCTCCTATTCTTGATAGGCAACAGTTTATTCTGCCAAACATAGATGCTATTCGACCAAGTAGATCCGCATCATTCCCTAGTATTAATGAAGATGACCCATCTCTGCCAATTGACTTCTCTTCTCGAGTCTCTTTCATCATGAACATGGGATATCCAGAGAAAATGACAACATCAGCTCTGAAACTAAATGACTGCGACATAGAGAAGACACTGCAGAATCTCAACCAAATCGTCAAAGTGGAAGACTTGGTTATTGACCAATGCCATCCAAAAGTTGACGAACCAAAGATTTTAGGTGTAATTGACTCAGATGGAGAATTGAGAGATTTAAAAGATGTCAAGCCTCCACCTGTTGTATACAAAATCAGAGAAATCATAAATCCACCTCCTTCAAAGCCAAAGCCATTGTTTGTGTTAAAGAATACCAACATTGCCAGCTTATTACCACTACTTACTAAGCAAAGACAGGAACAACTCAGGTTACAGAGAATTCGACAGATGGAGAAACCTAATGAAGAAGTTGAAGAGAATTTAGTTGAAAAAGCGAGGAAAAAAGAAGAAGAATTACAAAAACAGAAAAAAGATATTGTCGAATCAAATTTAAGATGATTTGGCAAAAAGCACAGGGGAGATATAATACAATTCCAGACAATAAAAACAAACAAGAGAGGAGAGAAATGAAACATAATAAATAATATAATGAACATGTAGATGAAGAAGAGAATTTAATATTTTAAGAATAATTCTTTTTATTTTATATTGTATTAAATTGTTTAATTTTATATAAGAAAATAATTATTCTAATGAGTTTTCTATAAGGGTGCACGTATACCACTTTCTGACACTCTCTCAAAAAGAGGAATACAGGCGTGATGGGGTATAGAAAATAGACAGGAAATTTGAGGGTGGGTGGGTATCAGAAAGTGGTGAGTGCGACCTTAAAGAAGTATTGAGGGTAAAAAAATTGATTTTATATTTAGATGAGATGAATAGCTTTATACTGACGTCATAGATTCACTAAAATTGCAAAAAGCTATCTCGATTTTTTTTATACGTTATTTACCAAAAATGAACCCTTTGTTTTACCCGGATACTAACAAAGGGGAAAAAACTGGGCTTGCTAAATCCAAGAAACTTGTTCAGAATACAAAAAACCTTCCTCAATCAGAAGAAACATTGAAAGGAGTCCCGGATAATTGGTATTACAACGAAGCTCAAACCGAAAATATATGGCAGAATTTGGAAAAAGGAATTGCAAAGCGAGAAATTGAAGAGGAAAAAGCAAATCCATTTGTTAAAATCGATGAATCAGCACAAAAAATTCGAAATCTGATAGTAAATTATCAATTAAATGATCATGATGTTATGTTAGGACTTTTAGATATGTTAGATAAAAGTGGTACAATGCTTGATTTAGATCAACAAACATTACTAATGGAAGCAAGATATTCCTTAACAAAAATGATCGACAATCATGCAGGAAATTCTGAAGCACAACAGCAACTACTAAACTCTTTACGAGGCTGGTTTCAAGGAGTTCAAACAGCAGCGAAAAATGATGTAAATGATTTGCCAAAGTTGTCAGATATACAAATGGATTCAACACAGCTTGCACAGCTCATCAAATCGTGTTGTGAAGTAACAGATTCCTCAATTGGGCAAGCAGCGAGCATACATCAAACAATTATCGAAAATTACCAAAAGCAAATCCACGAATATCAGACAAAACTCGAAGACAAAAACAACGAAATACAGAGATTAAGAGAGTCCATGGAACTTCTAAGTCGAGGTCACCGAAAGGCCTCATCCAAAATGCAAAAAGCTCATCAAGAACAAGGTGTAGCTTTAAACAACGCAAATAGAAAAATAATTGAGCAAGACACCAAAATAACAAAACTCAACACAACAGTGAACACCCTCCGTGAGCAAGTGGAAAACACCGAAGACAACAACGAGGCGCAATTTGAAGGAATTGACCCAGCCATTTTAGCAGAGAGAGAATTGGAGTTTGACTCAAAAATCAGAGTTCTAAACGAAGCGATATCGAATCTTAGAAGCGAAAACAACTCTTTGCAGACCAAAATCAAGCAGGACAAGATACAATCAAACCAAATCGAGAACAAGAACATCGAATTAGAAAACGAATTGAAGATACAGAAATCGAATTTGGCTGCAGAAAAAGAGAAATTCACTCAGCAAATGAACCTTTTGAAGAAAAAGAATGAAGAGATGATGGTTAAACTATCGACACAAGGTAAAGACAGAGACGAAGAGCAGATGAAACTAGAAATTCAAAGGAATTTAACCGAGCAAAAGGAGAAATTGCAGCAAAACTACAACATGACAATAGAATTACTCGAGAAGAAACACAAGCAGCAAATCAATGAAATACTTAATTCAATGACTCCAGATGGAACACAAAATTTGATGAATGCACTTGTCAAACAACAGAATGAAACAGTTGAAAGAATGGCTGACAATCACAAGAAGGAGATGGATGAATTAAGAGACAATTTTCTTGAGAAATTGGACAACATGAAGAAGACTTACGAAATGAAGAACAAGAAATTGCAAAAAGAAATTGATGCAAATAAAGAAATCCACGAAATAGATCTCAAAAATCAACTGGAAAACCAAAAAATAGAACTTGAAAACGAAAACAAAAAGAATATTTTAGAAAACACTTCGGAACTCCAGAAACAAATGAATTCAATCAGACAGGATCTCATTCTAAAAATTGATAATCTTAAAGGCAAAAATAGAAAGCTCCATGCACAAGTAAAGTCTCTGCAGGTTATTGCAGCAATGACTGACGAATCACTCAAAGAACAGAACTTGATTTCGGATGATGACGATGATGATGAAAATGGTTTTGAAGAGGAAAACTTAGACGAAGAAGTCATTAAAATGAAGGTTGAAAGTGAAGTCCAGAAAGTGAAAGAAGAGATGAACAAAGACATGATTAATCAGAAGAAGGCCTACGATCTAGCGAAAGAGTTAGAAATAAACAAGATCAAGGAAATGATGCAGTTGAACTTCGAAAAGATGCTTCTAGAACAGAAAGAGAAAATGTTAAATGAACTTTCAAAATCATCATCGTCCAAAGATATACAGAAGATCATCGAGTCGATGTCAAGCGAAGAGTTACCATCACTAGCTGCATCTCCTTTGGCTGAAGTTACTCCAACAGTTCCATTGGAAGAATTCAGAACTTTGCAGGAGAAATACCTCAAAATGGTCGATGAAAACACGTTCATGAAGAAGACTCTGGAAAAGATAAACTCAAGAGGGCCTGCATTCAATGGAGATGTTGTTGCGACAATGAGAAGCCAAATTGCAGCTGATTCTGAAAAGATTTCGATGATTTACGAAGAAAACAGAAGACTTAAAGAACAACTCGGCGAAAAAATTGGTAAATCCTTAGACGAAATCAATCTGAGTATTACCAAATCAAAACCAATGCTGTCAATAGTCTCTGTCCAGTATGTTTCTATGGAGAAATCTCCTGCCGCTCTTCAAAATTCGCAGATATTCGAAATTGCCTCTGTCGAGAATCACGAAGATCAAAGTAATAAATCTCCTCGAATTGCACTAAATAAGAACTTGAGTGTTATGAATAGCAATGAAATCTACATACCAAACAAAAGCAATGAAAACTTCAAACTCAGTGCAAGTAATTCGTTTGAACAGTTTAGTATCGAAAATGAACAAAATTCCAGACAAAATTCGGCCGATTCAAGTAAAAGAAGAGTTTCGTTTAAACCAGAAGTAAGTTCAGGTATAAGCAAATCACTATTTAACCAAGTGACTCAAACGAATCCTGTGATTGAAATGAACATCTCCACTCAAGTTTCTCTTATTAAACTAAAGTCATCTGACTCCCAAACTTTCGAAATCGAAAATGTGGAAGAAATTAAATCTACTGATAGTGAAATGGAGAAACCTAAAGAAACTTTTTATTCAAATGATAAAAATGAAAAATCGTCAAGCACTGATGAAGAAAAGTTCAATAACCAGAATTCAGCAAGATATAAAAACATTATTAATAATGAGATAAACAATGGAAATAAATCAAATGTAACAGCCAATATTAACCAAGATGCTAAATATGAAATAGAGAGTGATTCAATGACGAAAGTTATGAAAAATGAAGAAAAAAGAAAAAGGAAATTTACTACTTCGAATGATTCTTTATTCGATTTAAAGCCATCAGATGATAAACCGCAAAGTAATAATCACAGGACAAAACTAATGTCAAGTGCAACAAATTCATACGATGTGGATGAAAGTCAGAGAGTTCCTCTTGAATCATCCTTATCTCAACAGTTTGACATCAATGAGAACATTGTGAAAGTATCTCTTCGATCATCGGAGTCGCAATCATATGAAATATCTGCAAACCAAGGAATTCTTCAGAACTCTTCATCTCAAATCTATGAATTAAATGAAATGCAGGCAATCAACGAAGATGACACAAAACCGATGCATTACACTATTCAAAGAAGCAAATCAATTCCAAATAAGAATGTTTTCCATGTCTCGCCAACAAAACTTAGTCCAAGAAAACCAAATCTTGTAAATTCTCAAACTGAAACAGAATTTAATAGTTTACAAAAAGTGTCAAAAACAGATAATGTTAAGTTATTTATTGATGTTGTAAATTCGTTTGCAAAACCATATCTGAAGTCATTATTGTCAATAAGCAAACCTTTATCCACAGAAATTCCTTCAAAGCCATCTCCTGTTCTGAAAAGATACATTACAACAATTTTATCGATGTTCAGTGAAACTAAAAGCGAATTACCACAAAATGTAACAACAAAACTAATTGTGAACACAGATAATGAAATGTCTCAGTTCAAATCTAATGAAAAGAGAGAACAACTAAGAGTTATAAAGAGTTTTGACTTCGAGCGAAATGAAGTATCAATGATTGACTACAAAAGGGATAGTTCTGTCCTCCAAACACAGATACAAGCAATCAACGAGCGCCAGAAACAATTAGTTGACATGCACAGTGACATCGACAGCCATCTTAAAGAACTCTTTGGCCAACACAAAGAGGTAGTTAACGCGCTGAAGAAAGCAAACGAAATGGCTTTTGGTGCGATCAAAACAGTGGGAACAGACCATCCAGAGACATTGATTGAAAAACTGCAAGAACAGAGTGCATACACCACAAATGTCTGCATGGAGAGGGACTCTTTGCAGGAGACAGTAAATGAGACGACGAATTTACTTGACAGAAGAGGAATGGAAATAATTGAATTAAAGGAAGAACTTGTGAAGGAAAAGAATAAAAACGAAGACCTGTCCAACCAAATATCTAAATTGGTCCAAAATATGTCAGTTACCAAGATTTCTTCCTCAGAACAAATACAGCAGAATGATGATTTAGTCAATTTCCAGACACTACAAATAGAAGAGCTGCAGAAGAACTTAGAGAAGACAGAGAAACTGAATAGAAATTTATCAGAAGAACAAATAAGGACAGAGAACAAAATCAGAGAGTTAGAAAGTAAAATTGTTGTGCAAGAAGTGAAAAAAGTTGTTTTTGATGGATTAGTTGTTGGGCCTTTCGTTATTTTTAACACAGAGCAACACAAGGAACAACCAAAGAAAGGCTTCTCTCTTTCTCCTCTAATAAATTCATTTGAAGCACTTCCAATATCTGAAGAAAAAGAGAAACAAAATAAGATTGCAATCGCCACATCCCCTGTTGCCAAATTCATATCACCAAGCAATTCTTCAAGGAAGATTGAATCTTCTAGAAAGAATAATTCTGCAAGGAGTAATAATTCTGAAATTGAATATGGCGAAGAAATTAAAAGCGATAGAATTTTACCAAAGCCCGAACTACAAATAGATGAGCCTCATTTACCAAATGAGCACAAGACAGGCATTGCCCAAATCGCAGTTCCAGGTCAGCCGCTTTCTTTATCAATCAAAAAAGGAAGAATTTCTGGTGGAAATCAGACGAGGAACTCAATCATTAAAATGCCTTTACCTGCACTAAATAAACTCAATGAAGACACCACAACTATCACACTTAGTGAACACGGAAGATCCAGATCGTTTGATTCATTCGAGCCAATGATAACTGACAAGAAGACAGTTGTTTATGTCACTAGATACATCAAAGACGAAAAGAAGGAAAGCGGCAAAGCACCACTGTCAAATACAAGTAGAAATGAAGTAAACACAGAGAGATCTGAGCAAGAAACAGTGAATGATATGAGCATCAATTCGAGCAAAGTGATTAAAACATCGTATTCTCCTTTGCAAGCTCTCAAGAATAGAATTGATGCACTCGAATCTATTTTACAAAATAAATCTCACCAAGTTTTGTCTGGAAAAGATAAAGAACACATGTTGAATCAGGCTTTGTATAAATTGACACAAGAATACAAGAAACTTGAGAGAGAAATGACGAAAATGTCTGCTTTGAATGATCAATATAAAGATAAAATACAGAATTCTCTTTTACTGATTAAAAATTTGACAAATGAAAATGAGGAATTGAGATCTCTTCTGGCTGAGATAAAGAGGAACATTTTGTCAAATGAAATGATCAGTAAAAAGAATGGTGAGAAAGAAATATTCCAAATGGAGATGTTCAGAAGACAGAAGCTTCTTAAGAATATCAATAGTTTGGGCAATAAATACAACAGTGACTTCATTTCGAGGCAGGAAGCAAGTGCAGCAAGATGGCAAAGAAAGAAGGAGATGATTATAGAGAGACAGAAAGCACAAATGATGAATGTACTCAGAGCTATGGATTTGCTGAATGAAGATATACCTAAAGAAGGCCAAAGTAATGTTGTGAAGCATTACGAAGAGCAGAAGAAACCTTCTTTTTCCATACATTTAATTGGAAATTCTCCTCAACAAATAAATCAAAAGAAAAATGAAGTGAAAAAAGTTCCAAGTGAACCAAGTGATTTTCCTTCTATAGAAGAAGCATTGAGAAGCTCTTCGAAAGGAAGACTATCGAGGGAACTTAAACTTGGGGTTATTGCAGATCCAATCAGAACAAAATGATGTTTTATAATTTGTTTTTTATTGTTTATTAAATTTGTAATATTACACGAATTCCAAAAGTTCGAATGAGGTAACATATTATAAAAATATTGTATTTGGTGTCTATAGGATTCAAAGAAAGGATACAAACATTTTATTCATAATTATTCTAAATCTGACTTTTGAACCAGTCTTGGTCTTCTGATTGTTTGTGCTTCTGATTCAACCATCAGATATTCATTTTCTTCTCTGTTGTTCAGGCTAATTCGTCTCTCTCCGTTCAAAGTTCTGGTTATTACAGAAAATTTATTTTCATTTTCCAGATCAAGTGAGGTAGAAGTGCTCCGTACAAGAATATTACGATATGGAATAGTTCTCGAAGTATTTCCAGGTGTTACCATTGCGCTAAATTGAAGAGGAGAGTGGATTGTTGTTGGAAGTGTAGAAAATGATTTTATTGGCAATTTTGAAGATTGCTGAGCAGCAAAATATGCTCCAGGGCCAGGATTATCATCTACAGGCTGCTTTGGAAATCTTTCTGACTTTGATTTAAACGCAGAACTTTTTTCTGCCGCAGCAAACGCCCATGGTGTTGGTCCGGAGTAAAAATGGCTTTTCTCTTTGTGTTGCTTAACTTCGTTCTGAGAATATTCTCCAAAACAATGTGGAATTTTCGTTGATCTGCAAATAATATCGTAAGATCCTGGACCAGGATCATCATTTTTAGTATGTGTATTCATTGAAGAGATTGGTCTTGATTTTTCTATTGATAGCGTGTATTTTGGATGAAATTTGTTTTCGAATTGGTATTGATTGTATGTACCAGGACCAAGCCACTCTGATCCGCGAGATGGAATGAATGATGTGTTGCGAATTCCTTCTTCAATTTTGTTTGGATTTGAAAGAGAAGTGAAAATTTTGTGGTCTGGGCGAGGAGGAACAATTCGAGATGGCATTTTTTCTTTCAGAGTCCATGTTTCCATATGACTGTAAGCTGTCGGTGACGGATTTTTTGAAATGTCAAAAATCACTCTTTTAGATTTTGAAAATGAATATTTTGGGACTTCATGCTGTATTTTATCTTGCGGATTATAATTCCCAACAGGAGGAGCATCTTTTCCTGGGATAGGATTTGGATTAAAAGAAGAACCAAATGTAAATGGGTTCTTTGACTGATTTTTCTTCCTAGTTGGCTTCACAGATTCATATGTACCTGGGCCCGAGTTCGAAGGCGTTGTACATGATGCCCAATTATACATGCTATTTCTTTTCAAAAAATTTAGGGGGATAAAAACAAACTATAAATTCATGAAGTTAGTCTTTAGCACCTTAAGTACCAACTTGGCAGATCAAAGATCCACCAGAAGTGCCTTCGCTCCCAAACTTTGACATCGTTGTCTCAGCTTTGCTGTGAAAATCTAGTCCTATAAAACTTAGGCACAAGTAGAAGTCTATTCAATGATCGCATTGATTGTTTCACTCCAAAAATAATATTTGCAATTCAAATACAAAAAATAAAATAACCAAATATAACGAATGAAAAAGTACCGTTTACATAATAAACAAATACATATACAAACAATTATAAGTCTTTCCAGACTTCTGACGATTTTGCTGAATGATACAATCCTTTTGTTGCAGAAAGTGAAAAAATGGATGAATTAGCTCTTCTATCCATAATCATGCTCTCTGACGACCTGCTCTTCGACAAATGAACGTCTGGTTTGATATCCTGCATAAAATTCTTTCTTGGTTTTGTTGATTTTCTCGGAAGTGGCATTCCACTGCCTCTGTACTCTGATTTAATTTGGTTGGATAGCGTTGGCAAAGAAACTTTGGCCATCTTCTCCTCAACTACGTCCTGTGGTAACTTAAACACGTTTTCTTGCTGACTTTTAACGAATATTGCTTGGTTTCGCTTGATAAACCTTAGAGGGAGGAATACAGTAGCCTCTTTTCTTAGCCCACTCCCCAAAATTGCCAAAACAGCGGATTTATTTGGAGAAATCCCGCAGTAATTCGAAGCGGAAAAGACTGTAAGCAACCGTTTTGCAAAGTGCATTGTAATGCCAGCTTCTGCGCATTCATGGCCTCGAACAACTAAATCTATGTTATTTTGAGTCAGAAATTTCATGAAAGCTTTCTGGCCAAAGATATATCCTGAACCTCTTGGTGATGGACTGAAAAATTGTATGGTTTCATTTGGATCTGACCATAATATTGAACTCGAAATTTCTTCGTTAAAGCCGCACAAAGGCCTTGAGACCTTTTCTATATCAGATATTTGCTCTACATTAGGTCCAATTCCGCCATGTATGCAAAGAATCTTGTTTTGGACTAAAGCTGCCAAAGGAATCATTTCGAAAGCAGAAAAGAAATGCTTTGCAACATTCGTATTTCCATAAATAGACTGAATTTCGGAAAGAAATCCACCTTCAGAGCAAATTTCTTTAAATTCATGGTTTCCGCGGATGATAAAAACATGTTGGGGCCAAAGTACTTTCATTATAAAGATTAGTGAGATTGTTTCAACCGAAAAACTCTCCTCTATCAATAATGTCACCTAGAAAAAGATAATTTGTAGTTGATGGATGCCCAAATTTTTTAATAATTCTCCGTAAATCTAAAAGATGTCCATGTAAATCTCCTACAATAATTAAATCTAAATTCAGTTTCATTAAAATTGGCTCCCTTTGAAAATAGTAAGATGCGTTACGACACATTGATGCTATTATTGGCTCAGGAATCACCGGTAATACCAAATTAACAAGCCCAGACTCAATATCACTTATTTCTAGAGAAATAAGCTTTGAATAATGCTGATAAATAGTGAGAAGATTTGTAGAATCTGGGGTTGATGAAAACATTTGCTCAATTTTTGTCACTTTTATAATTTGTTTACAATTTTCTTCTCTTTGAATGTGATTGAAAGAACTATGGGGGAGTATATATACATGTTTAATAGGGGCGATTGCAAAAAATCCATTATCATATAATATAAGCTTTTATTTAGTAAAATTGATATAAATTTCAAGGCTAGATTTCGATTTCATTGATCTTTCGTATCTTTTCCTCCAAAAGATAAAGTTAAAGTCTTCCCTTTGAACTGGATCGAAAGGAAATCGGATTTCTTTGAAAGATCTCTGTCTTTGATCGTATAAATCGTTGGTTTTGGAGAAGAATCGCAATAATATGATTAAGGATACCCTTACATTGCGTAGTTAGAAAAAGAATATGATATTGTCATGATTGCTAAAGTTTTAGGCTCCAGAAATGAATATACATCAAACTGAAACAATTGATAAATTGAATGAACTTTTGAGAGGTTCTCAAATAAAAAAAATTATCTAATTTTTTACAATATTACTATTATTTTATCCACATATATATATATAGTAATTTGAGAAAACTTTTAGGAAAAAATATGTTTAATAAAAATCTGAATTTTACTTGTTGTGGGATTGTTATTAATTGACACTCCAGACGTATTACTAATAGTTATGCGTATGCAATTAAAGTATTTCTGATGGACAAAATGTGAGATTTATATCAGATAATTCATTTCTACTATTAAGTTATTCATTTATGAGTTTGCACTTATTCGCACTAAATAAATAACTATTAAAAATTGTTTTAATTAATTGACACCATATAATAGAGTGAATTTTGTTTGATCAAACAACAATAGATGATAGATATAAAGCCAAGAAACTTGCTATTAATATGCTCTACTTGCTATTTCAATGTAAGTATGATATTTTCTAAATGTTTCGTTCAGATAACTTAGATATATTAGTCAAAATTTGAAATTTTAATAGCACATATATTAAAAATAATTATTATTCATAAAAGATTAATGAAATAGTAAAAAAAAAATCAATCAAATTATAAAAATACAACATATGGTTTTTTATGGTTTTCTCATAATAGCATTTCATGAGAAAAAATATAATACTATTTATTTTTGCATAGTTCAATTTTTTTAAATAATGCAAGATATCCCGCCATTAGTTTTCATGAAATAATCCAAAAATCAGCATACACTTGAGAACATAGTAGCTCTACATGTTTTCGCTATTTATTTTCCAATAATATGAGGGGTTCACGGGATAAAGCTTCATTAAGCATAATTGATTACAATATCATCATATATATACCGAACATATAACAAATGGGATATTTGTATACTAAAATAAAAAAGGAGCAAATTATAAAAAAAAAAAAAAAAAAAAAGGTAGTGGGGCTTCCAGGCACTTCGTGCCTTCTAGCCCTGATGTTGATGTTTAGTATAAATGAAGTTTTTATTCGGAGGACTCTTCTTCTTCCTCCATTGCTTCTGGGAAGAAGCCTTCTTCTGGGTCGAAAACATTATATAATGTGTCGCTTTTCACAAATTATATATGTTTTCATGTTTTGTCACTTTTCTGTCACTTTTCAGGGAAAAACATTTTTATTATTATATATAAATGAATTTTACAAAACCACCGTTACCGTTCTTTGGAAATAAGAGTAGATGTAAAGATATTATATTGAGAGAACTTAAGAAACTACCGAATGGTCTAACATTTGTAGATTTGTTCGGTGGAAGTTTCTATATATCCCATTTGTGCCATATAATATTCCCAGACTCAAAGATTATATGCAATGACTTCGACAACTATATGAACCGTCTCAAACATATTCCAGACACAAACAATATATTGAAAGAGTTAAAAGAAAAGATACCTATAGGTAAGATGGAACGTATACCATTAGATAAGAAAAATATTGTGAGAGAGGTTTTGAAAAAAGCAGAATATATAGACTGGGATAGTATATCTGCTAGACTATTATATAGTGGTGCTATAAGAGTTCATGACATTGAAACACTTATGTCAAAAGTTTTATATCTTAACTATACAAATGTTTTCAAAGAGGACATAGAAAAATATATTGAGGGTATAGAGTTTGTGAGATGTCATTGGACAGATTTGTATGAAAAATATAAAGACAAGGAAAATGTTTTCTTTATAGTGGACCCGCCGTTCTATAACACATGGATTTTCAATACCAAGTAGACTGGACTTTGAGAGACTCTTTAGAAACTTTAGACGTTTTACATAACTGTCCATGCTTTTACTTTACATCCGATAAAAGTGGTTTGGAAACCGTTATGAGATGGTTAGAGGACATACATGACTATGAGTTTATATATGACAAGATAGAATATGAGAGAGGTCCTATAAACTGGAGAAAGTGTCATAACAAAGAAATTTTATTAGTAAGTAAATGTGGTTTGAAATAGGACTACTTGTTTTAGGTTTTTTCCATTGTGTCATTTATTTATTTGACGTGGCAGAAAAGTACAGAGAATATGAAGATGAACCAATGCCTGCAAATGTCCAGTATATGTACTCGTAAGAGATATTTTTATCTAATATTAAATGGACGCACAGAACTTAGCGAATGCACAGCAACCTGGACAACCAAACCCAGAGAATATTCCAAATGAAGTTAGAATACAAACTGCAATGGCAAACTATGGTCAAGTGCCAACAGATGTACAAATGCAAACTGCCATGTCAAATGACGCTGCGTTAGGTTTGCCACCATGGTATGCAAATATGAGATGGAAAGAGTTTTATACAAACCCTGAAGTGGGATATAAACAACTTTATGCAGATGACGCAAACACAGGAGTTGACCCAGAATATGTTTTCTACCAGAGGAGAAACAGAATGTATGAGCTCCAGTTAAAGAATGCTATGGAACTCAACAGGAAACGTAAGAGACTAGGCGGACATTAGATTTTTACATATAGTAAAATGGGTTTCTTCAGTAAGATAGGAAACTTCTTTCGAAATGTTGGAAGAGGTATATGGAATGGAATAAAAACCGTAGGAAGAGGAATTTGGAACGGTGTCAAAAATATTGGTAAAAGAGTAGGTCAGTTTGTTGGTATTATACCTAAAGACCCTGAACCAGAAGAACAAGCTCCTGTTATACAACAGCCTGAACCTGCACCACAGTCTAGTTGGCAACCAAATCCAACACCTCAACCGTATTAAAAATTATATTTTTACCGTTCGATAGTAGTTGTATATGAAACTAAGTTCTAAGTAAAACGCATGGTATAATGGAATTATTCTTTTTCTTCCATCTGTAGTAAACCATACTTGAAAGTCTGAAATACTTCCACTTGGTGGTTCGTATAACTTTGTAGGTTTTTCGTAAAAGTCATTTGCCAAGCATAAGAAAGAGTTTTGGGCGCCAGAAAATGAAGCATGAACAATAATAGCAGCTGGGTCGAAAACATCTTTAAATAAATATGGTTCATCTCTTGCATATCGACTGTAAATATTTGCTAAAGGAAGTTCGACTTTCTGATTTAACATTCTTTGCAAATAATACCATGACATTGCAGTGAATTCTGTATATATTTGTTCGTCTTTATTTGGATTGTTTTCGTAGATTTGAAATGACACTTGTGAATTTTGTTTGTCATATACAATTCTCACATAAAGTGTGCTCTCGGTATTTGCATATTCATCAGCATATTTTGCATAACATGAATTTATTTTATCTTCTATATTTTTTAACGCAGTCTGTAGAGAAGATGAAAGGTCAACTTGTATTAGCTCAATTTCTTCCCACATTTTTCGTTTCCCTTCAGATATATAATCTATATGAAACCTTACAATAAATGGAAAACTTTTATCTTCTACAGACACAAACTTCATTCTACGAAAGCCAATAGCTTTTGTGACAGATGGGTCTCTTAACCATCTTAATGGGTAGTCAAAACGATAGCCTTCATGCTTTACGGTCTCTGTCTCAAACTTTTGACCGACATTAGTAAAAAGTTCATCTAATGGTTTAGTTGTAGCAACTCTTGAATTTTCTTTTTCTATTGGAAGCATATTTTATCTAGAATAAAAATGTCAAATGAAACAGCGTCTATGAGAGAAATACAACACAACCGACAACTCATTATGCAAGCTCTAAATAAGAACACAACAAACTTTTCAAACTATTCTAAGATATCTGAGTCATTGAAAGAAGGAAACTTAAAACTGACATTAAACCCAATGACAGATGAGTTTCTATTTCAAGACAATAAGAACCATACTGTCTGTATAAATCCAACAAAAGGAACTTTAAACGAGAAACCTATAAATGAACTTCTTTTGAAAGCAGATGTTGACAACAAAGCTGACAAAGAATATGTAGACGATGCAATAGCAAAAGAAGAAGAAAGAGCTAACAATGCTTATGCAACAAAAGAACATACTCATCCTGAACTAGCAGACAAAACATATGTTGACAATAAAATGTCAAGTGAAGTGACAAGAGCTGAAAACGAATATTCTAAAAAGACTCATATACATTCTATATCTGAAATAACAGACTTACAAGAAACCTTAAACAATAAAAGTGCCGTTGGACATACACATACCATTGCAAATATTACAAACTTACAAGAAACCTTAAACAGGAAAAGTGACGTTGGACATACACATACCATTG